ATGATAATTTTTTTCATTAGCATAGATCAGCCGTTGTGTTGAAGCCATTATGCTCACTAGCCCGGATTTATTACAATTCATCGCTTTTTTTGCATATAAGGAAAGTTTAGAATAGATTCCGAGAGGCTGGGAAGACACAGTAAAGTGGCCTCCAACTCTATGCTTCCGAGGTTCCTATTCTGCTTATTAGGTCGTGAGATTGCTTATTCTGTATCTGAAAATGTAATCACTACTGGCTAGACCGTAAGGTTACGGATTATCGTACCTTTGTTTTAAAGCCCTACTAGGCCGCACACTATTTTCGCGAAAGCACTAACGTGCAAAACAATTTCCTCCCTGATTATTTGTGCTTTTACATGGGAAAGGATGGATTCAGCAATTTTTGGAAGACTCATCCACATGTTACGCTAGCTAAATTATCTCGCATTCTAGCTCCCTCCTCATCACAACCTCACGCTATAGTCAAATATCCGTTCAAAGGCTCCCAGCAAGACGAATTGTCATGTGTTGAAGGCGATATCGTAATGCTCAGGCGCGACGTCGACAATCAGTGGATTTATGGTACAATTTTGTTCAAATGAGATTTACTCAGTTGAACTAAACTGCTACTTCTTTTTCCCAGAATCCGTTCCCCTCGTTTCCAAAGCTTCTATAATCCTGGGGAATGGCATCATCTTTAACGGCTATAATTGCAGGAATGAATAATAGGACGGGTCAATTTGGAATCGTTCCTTTATCGTTCTTGGATATCCAAGTGCCGTTAACGTCGAGAATTCCGCCACAAGCTGTTTATGCAACAGCTTTATACGATTACGACTCGAACACACCTGGAGATCTTACGGTATGTTTCAGTTACTGCTATTGTTTTCCTCCATTCGCTCACTGGTTCTCTTCGCTACTGATGAAGTATTGCTGTGGCTCTGTCGTTCATGACTGCGTACGTAAAAGCTACGGTTTTAAAATCTCAAGAGCGTAGAAGGGACAAGGTCGGCATGAGTAAGACTGAATTCCGCCTCACTTTCCCTTCCATTAGGTTGACAAAAACCTTCCTGTAGAAAGTGCAGTAGAACGGTTTGTCGGCTGGTGGTCGTCGCAGTTTGTGGGTCGTCGACCAGTTTGCGTGCTTGTTCATCCGTGAAACTTTCCAAAGTAGTGTTAAAGGTAGTTTTTTTGAAAAATCTGGCGGAAATAGAGGTCAGGAGTAAACATAGAAAGCAGTAACGTTGCTGATAGCGTTGACACACCGATCATAACATGGGTGTCTACCTCGCCTCGTGATTCCGATCAATTGATAACGATTGACATCGATTCGTGGCGTGATTAATCAGACGAAATTTAATTCTTTCCTATGGTAAAACCAATAAATTGGTAAAAAATTTATGTAATGGAGTGAAAACTCAGAACAGCATTGTCAATGAATCCTGACAAGACCTCCAGCACTGTGATATCAAGCGATCAATAATTAGTGACATTCTACCGTTCATAGGCACTGCGAGCTGTAAATTAGGATACGACACTGTATATCGGTAGCATGGATTCCCATGTTTGGTGGAACACTAGTCAAACCGAAAACGGGAACGGCGAGGAATGTTGCTCATGATCATATTGCTAACTAAAGAGGCAGATAGGTCTAGGCAGAAGCTCCATATTGCTGCTAATTCAACATATAAAAATGTTACATGCCGCACCATGGAGAGTAAAAGTAACAAAAGCAAATTCATCAACACAAGCAAGCAAACCCCGACGCTTTCAACTTTTTCACAATGTACCTATTCTAGCGTAGCTCTTATTTCAATAAAAATAACAAATAACAAATGGGTATTTCAAGCAAGAAATTCTCGAGTAAGTCGTGTACTGATCAGGTTTTTGTCATTCGTTCAAGGGAAATAAGAGCTACGCTAGAATAGGTACATTGTGAAAAAGTTGAAAGCGTCGGGGTTTGCTTGCTTGTGTTGATGAATTTCCTTTCGCTCCCAAACATCTAACTACTCACTAAGCACGAACGCGAAGGTTAATTGCGACTATACCAGTCCCTCCTCGTGCTCTACCGTAACCGTATCAGACTTAATGACATTGCAGTTCCGAGCGCAAGATCAAATCATAGCTACTGAACGAGTGGGCCCCGACTGGCTACGTGGGCAGCTACACGGACAAGAAGGCATCTTTCCAGTCAACTATGTATCTTGTCCGGGTATTGATGGCCTACCGATGTCTCAACCGGACACGCAAGCAGTCCCACTCGAGAAGATGACGGCAGCGTATGATTACTCTTCAGGTGTAGCAGGCGATTTGGAATTCAAAGCTGGTGAGTCTGATTTGTAAAGAAAGGATTCCTCTAATAAACAGCTTCTACTCAGTCCTTCTTGTAGGTGACACAATAGAGGTGATGGCTCGGTTAGACCAGGATTGGATTCAAGGTCGATTAAATGGTCGGGAGGGTTTGGCTCCACTGACTTTCTTGGCTCCTTATGGGACTCCAGTCAAGAGTCCCAAGACACGAGGAATCGCCGCCATCGCTGCACTAGGAGGCACCGGACGTGTGAGTATACAGATCTGTTCAAACTAAATTTCATGTGAACATGTTCTCATATCGTACTATCGTAGGATCTGTTCAATCTAAATTTCATGAACATGTTCTCATATCGTACTATCGTATCGTCTTACAGACTGTCACTGCAATTGCCGATCATACTTCAGATGATCCGAACATGTTGTATTTTACCAAGGGAGACAGAATTATCATAGTTGAGGATGTGAGTGATAATTATGTTCAGTGCCAAAGGAGTTGATGGTTTCTTCCAAAACATCCGTACGCTCTAATACACAACAATGTAATTCAGGTGGACAGCTACTGGTACCGTGGAAAAGTTGAAGGTTTTAAAACGTTGCCAGCCGGTTTATTTCCGAAAGCTCTTGTACAAGAGGATTGAGGCGTACTGCACTAAAACAACTATGCCTTCCGGTAATTTTGACGCAAAAGGTGAAAGTGAGCGGGAATAGACGCAAGGTCTTGCTGTTTGTTGTGTATTTGCAGCTTTTTAATCTTTTCAAATTTACAACATTCGAAGTGGTGCTGAGATTACCTTCCAATTTTACTTTCCTCCTCTAAAACTACTTTTACGGTACGGCACCCCATAATCTCTTTATGACGTTTCCCGGCTGCTCCACAAGCATATGTGAATAAGCATACGTTACTTAAAAGTAAGTCTGATTTCAGCTCAGGTAGTCGCTATGGAAGATCTTAAGAGCTCATTTATCCATTTTACTTTGTGATGTCTTCTAAAGTCGCTTAGCTGCATGTAAAGTCCATTTCATACGTGAATTCGTCAACGTACTTCGGGAATTGGAACTGTTTTACAGTATCATACATTACCGACTCAAGGGTGTGTGCCGATTCTATCGTCGAGATTAACGGTCTCAGATTTGACCCTAGTGTGGGCTCAAGAGGGAAACTTCAAGATTTTGTTTCTTTCAATTGCTTTGTTAGATTGCAAGCTTACCCTTCAAAAGTCTCCCCTGTGCTTTGACTCCTCAGTATTTCCCTTCATTTCTCAATGTATAATTGCGACTGAGGCGAATTGAGCTTCATCGTTCTCAATTGTCATACTTGAAGTCGGTTTCACTCTTCTGTTGTCTCGACGATAGAATCGAACGTGCCCTCGGTTCACGAAGTGCTTGACGAATTAAAAACTACAAAGTGGACATACTGCTTGTATGCAGATTGTGATATTGCCTCTTTCTCATTCGCTTCAACACTCTTTAAAGTACGAGGTAGATAACATTAAAGCAGCTAAAATACATTATCACATATTGGAAAGAGATCTATCAAATAAAGATTGTTTTGCGTGAATTGAAATCTGGAAATATTACATTTGGACGTTTAGTCACCACTTATTTAGAGCTACCAGGAGCACTTTAGCTATCATAGTTTTCTCGCATCGAAAATTTAGAGGTCTTTTTTAGAGAGCCGTGAAAACGATTAGACAGATATTGATGACATCACTAATTGTTTAGATTTTTTATCAACTATTCATATTAAGTAGTAAGTTCTCAACATAAAAATCATGACAAGATCACTGCAAAAAAAAAAGAGAACATCGAGGTACAATCAATAACAGAACCCGAACAAGATTCATGAGAATCGTAATCGTTATTTCACCGCGACTCGTTTTACTGTCATGCATTGGAAGGGGAATCGACGATAATTACGCCCAGATAAGTGAGCATGACCTTTACAATTCGTCAAGGATTTGAACCCAAGGTAGGCAGTATTCGAAAAAGAACAACCAGTTTCATGTTTCAGTAGGCAGTGTTCGGAAAGGTCGAGATTCCAAATTTCACCCCATTTACGGACGAAGCATCTTAGGGGACAATCATGAATACGTCGCAAACATGTGTGGCAAAGGGTAAATTTCAAAGCTAATCGTCTAACAAAATTACTCATGTAAATGCTATTGTGTTCATCCGCCTCTGGATGATTACACATACCTTCGTAAAAATTCTTAAGGAGGTCGCTCAAGCGTCTGCGTTACGTCAGAACGGCAAGACGGGTGCATCTTAGCAAATCTTCTTTTAATAGCAAAGTGCAGGGACCAAAATGCATAAAGTTCTCTGTTAAATACATTAGAATCTAGCACCGGGATGCATGGAATTGAACTACTAACTTGTAACGATGAAAATAAAAGTAAAAAGAAATCAACAACAGTTTTCGAAAATTCAAGAAACAGGTATGGGAAAAGAGTAAGATGTTCCTCACTACAAGTGTTCCTTTTCACGGTCGAATATCGTCTTTACCTGAGACGTAAACTCCTCCAAAGACATCTGACATCTACTGATTTCGCCATTTTGTAGATAATCACGTGTTTTCGTCAGCAGTTGGTCAATAAAGTGGGCCACGTTGGCGAGGTCAACCGTTTCTCCTTCGACTAACTTCAACCCAACCCTAAAATCAGATTGATCGAAGCAGTTCGAGCTGTTGCAGAATCAGGTCACCATGAGAAATTCAATGACAAGGTAACCATAAGCTGAACGAAAGTGAAAAGCACTTAGAAAAACGAAACTGGAATTAGCTGAATTCAAAATGCTAAGTGAACGCCCAAAATAAAGATACCACATACCATAATGTGGTATTGTACTCATCGTACAAATCGAATACTATTCTGGCAAAGCCAAATCACTNGAAGCAGTTCGAGCTGTTGCAGAATCAGGTCACCATGAGAAATTCAATGACAAGGTAACCATAAGCTGAACGAAAGTGAAAAGCACTTAGAAAACCGGAACTGGAATTAGCTGAATTCAAAATGCTAAGTGAGCGCCGAAAATAAAGATACTACATACCATAATGTGGTATTGTACTCATCGTACAAATCGAATACTATTCTGGCAAAGCCAAATCACTCACCACAGTGAGTCTTTATACACATCAAAAAACGTATGGAACATCAAGCGACAGTCGGAAGGAGCCGTGCTATTCAGAGACATCGATACCTTAAGCACAATTCGTTCTGGAAAGAAATTCTTCTCTTGAGGAAGCTGCTCACCAGTGCCTCAACAATCAAGGGAAACTGCTCATCGGGCTTTAACAAACCGCTCCACTTCTTTCGTAGCGCTCGTCGTGACATCCAAAGTTTCTTATGAACTTCAAACGAACCCAGATGGTTGACCTCCTAAACATGCAACTCTTAGAGGGAAGTGAATAAATTTGAAAATCGGATAACGTTAACAAGATCTTCCGTGAACGAAGAAGAACGAGAAGTAAGTAACCAGTAGGTAACATGGCTACTCACACTGTCTAGGCGGGGCTTTTTTGCGGGAGTTGCCGCACTCTCACAGTACAATACCGCGGAAGCAATAAAGGAAAGCACTGACTCCGATGTTCCAATGTCGAATTCCTCGGGGAATCCAGAAACACGGCAAGATCCTTCTGGAATGATGGATTAACATCAAACTGTTGCCTTTACCTTGATGCGACTCCCTTCCCTCAAACCTATTAGTAGTGTCACCTCGGCATTCTTCCCACCTCACACCCAACTATTCAAGAGCCCACAAATCTCACCTGTTGAAGGCAATGATGGCGCTGGAGAAGAACTTGTAGAATTGTTTTTCAAGACACGTAACATAACAGCAAATGAATCCGCATTTTGCTTCATTGCGGCCAACGAAAGCATCATTGCATGTCTCATGGTTTTCAGAGCCTTGCTAGTTACATTCTTGGCCACGTTGTCAGTTAACTCGATTGGATCCTGAACGAAGGAATACAATGTAGTTGCAATCTGATTGTGAGTCATACTCAACTACTTACTGCCAAAGAGAGTTGGACTACCCCATTGTAACTGCTATACTAAAAGATTGTGTTCGACATTATTCCAGTAAAGCACCTTTCTTAGTGTATATTAACCAGAATCAAGTTCAAACGTGATGTTCGTAGACTGAGCAGTCAAAAATCACAACCCAAAACTTCCACCATAGAAACGACCACTGCTCTTGACAAAACCCAGCACCTGGCCACTTAACCATATAACCCACCTGGACAAAAAGGATGGATTGCGGCTTCAGAGTCATCTGTTCTTTGAAGTCTTCAAGTGGCACTACTCCACCATTTCGCAATGAAAATAAAGTTTTTTCCAACTGACGTTCGATGCATAGAACGAAGAATTTCTAAAATTACATAATTAGGTGAGGGGTGAGCAGGTGCCAGCAACTTGTTCCTCAAGACCATGCAATGATCAGTTCAACGTAATCCATCTGATGAGACAACACTCCAGAAACTCCTAGTAGTAATTACAGAGACGCCGCTGACATCACTCTAGTGTTGTTCACTTTGGAGCTCGACCCTTCGATGAGACTGAAGCCCATTTACTGTGCAACTCAAGTTTACTAAGCTTCATTCTGCTACAACATTTAGAGAAACCTTGATATCCCTAGCCAAAACTAAGGCCTGTTGCTGAGATTCGAGAACAAATGAAAGAGTCTCTATCCATTCCCCATTGAATCGCGAGCTGCTCATGTTGATCTACGAAAAGTTACTTCGGTAATTGCTGAAATGCGAAAGAAGCTCGTATCTTACCTTGAAAAGCTTACGAATATCGGTGTCAGCCAACGTGTATGATGGGACAGTAAAGTCCGTTTCAGCACCATTGTGTAACTCCTGAAACAGCTCAGAAGCAATATTTCCAATTCTCTGAGACCCTCAACATTTTAGAAGCTTTAACAATAGTTGATGACTAGAGAACCCCTCAGAAATTTTCAATTATGAGTAGCAGTCCAAGAGCGAGGTGTACTCGAATTCGTCTCCTTTGCTGATAGGCGCTAAATGTCTTGGCAACGGATGACCATTCAGTTGCTTGAATGTCGCTTTGTAGACAATAGTTCCCTTCTTCCGTTCTCCCAAACAGAGAAACATGTCCACTGCACAAAGCACTCAATTGCTTCCATCTCGCTCCAAACTTGAAAGTGCTCACCTCTTCAGAATAATTCGTGACAGGCAACAATTTTTCCGAAAGCAGGAATGAGAAAAACATCAAGTTCAGTGTATATGAGTTGAGATTCCACGTCTGCAACCGAAATACATAGCAACTCGACATGGACAGAAACAATGCTAGCCACTAACTCTTTTTTTCTCCGACGAAAAAACACCATTGGACGCTGCCCATAGTCGTAGACCCAAAATTAATTTTCGAAGAAGACCAGATTGGTCAGCTCGCACTAGTGCTCCGATGAAGGCAGACTTCTGGCATCCGATCTTGTTGTTCACGGATAACTCAACTAGCTGAAATTCAACTGATTTTTGGAGAAGGTGCCCTCCAGGGTAATCTACAGGTCGCAAAAAGACATGAAGCAGCTCTTCGTTTTACCACAAAAAAAAANAAAAAAAAAGAACTTACATGCCTATCGTAGGAAAGAAAGCGAATCACTGGACATCGAGCATCTGACACAATGTACAAGCTTTTGAAGAATCCACTTTTTTCTCTTTTCATTTCCTTCATTACTCGGAACAGTACCTCCGTCTGTTCTGAAGTGCAGCTAATTTCAGTGCTAGAACATACCAGGAAAAACCCAGCCGTTGGTTAGAGGGTAACAACTGGAAAGAGTGAAACCTTGTGCTGAGTAGAGAGGTAGAGAGCGCCTAAATGAAGATGGGAGGCGAGAAAAAAAGCACTATAACCATATTCGTTGGCGAAAGAGACCCCTGGGCGATTTTAAAGATTCAGAAAGAATTGAATATGTGGGAGAGAGGAGTGTCGTTAACTAGTCGACGTAAAAGAAAGAAAAAATGAACTCAAATGACCTGCTTGAAAAGCAGGTCAAAGGATGTAATTCTCACCCCGTGCCGGAAGGGGGCTCAGTTCATCCCGATGTATGGGATTCTCTTCGAAATGTGCTGTTGGGCATGTCAACAGAATATTCTGATAACGTATGAACTCGTCCATGAGAGCAGGTGTTTCGTCCTTGAAGAGAAGACAGAGATCCTGTGAACAGAAAAAAAAGCAATATTGCAGATCTCACTCGAAAATTGACAAAGTCTTACTATGTCTGAGTCGTTTGTACCCAGCCCGGTCACAGCTGAGCCAAATTGAATGACATTCGGATCCTGTACATATGTGGACAACAGTTCTTCAAAGCGCTTTCGAAACATGTTCCGGCGTTGCACCTATAAGCATTACTCCACTGACTAGCAATAAGAATAGAGCTTGAATGCAAGTTTCACTAGGCACCTCCTTTTCAGTAATGCCGATGCAAGAAGCGATTCGATCAAGCTGAGCTAGAAAACCACGACAACATGCATCGCTGACATGTTCGATGACCTGAAACGTGAAAAGCTCGAAAAGTATCCACAGAGTCAACCCAATAGGGACCTCAGGCTCCTCGGTCAACTTGCCTCATCGTTATTACTTGAGCCGCAAGAAACAAATAAAGGGAAGATAATGCCTTGCAAGAGAATCGCAAAGATGATCCTCTCCGATGTAGGAACAATAAAAAAGCTTCGAAACTGAGTTACCTCGTCTATATCTACAGATGGACCATGGTGATCATCACTAAAAGTCGCACGCCGTTCATAAATGACTCCAGTCAGTGTCTTGAAAGTGTGCAACGAAGATATAAAAAAGAATTTTTGCATGATACAGATGAGTATTACAACTCACTTCAGTTATCTTTATGGATTTTGCAGCTTTGGCCCGCTCAACGGCGTCTTCACCGTCGAACTCTACGAAGGCATGGTCTTGGAGGAAGCCGCAGGAGACGTGAGTTACATTACCGAACTGAACGGAAAGGATAACCCAGTACAAGTGAAATTAACCGAAAACTATAGGAAGTACCGTTCATTAAATACGAAGATACTAAATAGAACGCAAAATAGGTATGCCCAATCTTCAAAGCGAAGAAGCCAAATAACGATGGTGCGGCCCTCAACCAAGAACTGCTTTCTCTATAAGCCGCCACTTAATTTCTCACCAAGAACTTCTTCAATATAGTTAGATTTCCATCACGACGCCCAGCGTCGTCCGAAAGGAGTTCAATGCCGGATTTGTAAAAAGCACCAATGTGACACAAGCACTCACTTTTTTTACACATTCTATCAACCAGGACAGACTGCAACATAAAAAATGTCGATAGAACGCCCCTGTTGACGTTCTAAGGCTCAGGCTGATCACTTCTTTCCGATGGCAGGGAGCGGAGCGCAGCAACTATATGTGTCTTTCAAAACCCAAAATTCAAAATGATGGCGTCAAGAAGACCAAGATCCGGACCAGTATTGTTCAGTGCTGTCTTACGCGCCAATGCAAAAAAAGAGAAAAGATTAAAAACCCAGGGCAACCAACTCACAGTGCTAAAAGCAGAGGCGATAACTTTCGGATCTAGAAGTTCATCACCAGCATCGTGTTTAAAAGTCAGTGCTACAAAGACGGACTTCTTGGGTAATTCAGCCGCCTGAGCTTGACGTTCCAGGGATCTCTGATGCCGTCTACCAGACTGAAACACTTCAATAAGTCGTTGCCTCAGTTTTAATTCCCAGTTGGAACACAAATTAGACAAAGAATGGAGTGCCAGACATGCTGATAACAGAATAGCAGGATGGCTGACCTCGTGAATTGATTTGGAGTCCCCACCGTCTGGATATTCACTATTGCAGAGTTCACAGATCCCCATGACGAGGCCGATCGTTGGGTCAACCACATAAGACGTTTGGTTGATTCAAACGGAAAGTACTGTACGCAATCACACCGAACACGCAGACTTTACGCTTAGCTCTAAAGCTCTCTTATTTTTTTCGAAATTAGACCCAATTTTTGGTTTGTTGTATATTTACTTTACTCGTGAAGTATTGAAGTATCTGATTAGAAGATTTCAGGGTAACTTAGAATGCGACCGCTTTCGCGGTTATTGTCGTCGTGGAAATTTCTACCTAATCGCGAACGAATAGTCTTCAAGAGTCAGAAGGCAGCTTTTCGAGAGTATTGGAAAGTAGTTGGTGTCAATTTACTGGTCTGCATAGGCTTCGCCGCTTTTGTTGTGTGAGTTTTTAGTGGCTGTTTTGTTTCTTCATTCCATTCCTAATTGGCTTTTGTCAGTTTTTATTTATTTATTTATTTTATTATATTTCGTAGCTATTTTTGGCACGCGGCTCGGTTGCGCATTTTTGATTTCCTCTCTTTTCTCCTACATTTGCTTCTTTTTCTTCTGAGAAGAATGAGAAATAAGTTTAGTGTCGGTTAGCAGTAATGTTAGAAAGTCTTAAGAAAAAACAGCGTAAGCTCGATAAGCACCCAAAGTGAAGTAAGACCTCCGTTAGCGTTTATTCTGGTTTTCCTCCCGTCAATTAGGCCCACAACGGTATCCTAAGTTTGAATTTATAGTAGGTTTCGTTACGAATGAAGTCTTCGAATGATTAGATGGCGGCGATGGTTGGCGCATTATTTACTCTTCAGGTCTAATTTTGCATCTTTTGGTTAATTCTATTGCTGTTGTAAATCGCCTCTCTTAATCAGCCGCTTACCCCTTAGCTGCCTATACATATCACTGGAGCACCTCGGGAGATTGCACCTAAGCTGATATCCGGTTCCGCAATCCCTCCAAGCGGCTTGCAGCATTGGCCGGCCACTGCGCTTCCTCTTTTGGACGGCCCGAATGCTTCCCCCCGTTTTCCCGTCTCCCTTATCCTTCTCGTGAGTAAGAATATAATGCTTTATTCTATTGTAATTTGGTACTATTCCGAACCTACCGTTGTATATTGCTTTAACAATAGCCCAATAAGTAAATGAATACCAAATAGTCTTAGCAGACGCCATGCCATTTTCATTTGTTGTGACTTTCTGACCATGCCTTTAATCCTAATGGGTTGGCTAACTATTTCGACGACTCGATTATTGCTCTCTAAATCCCTACTTTTCTCATTTTGTAGTGACGTACTTAGCGGCAACCACAAGTACTTAATAAAATATGGATAGAACTTTTCAGGGAATTTGCGTTTCCAACTCCAGACATGGTTTATGATTGGAAGCGGATAATTTCGCCCGATTTTGATCTATACTGTAGATTTGGTGAAAAGGCGGAATTCGACTTGGATATTTCCCATAAAGTAAGCTATTTCAAGTACAGAGAGAAGAAGGATAAGTACGAACACGATATGCAGAAATCACCAGTGGCCCGGTTTGGTGGCTCTGTTTAGGAATCAGTTTCTTTATTCTTTTGTTATTTGACTTCGTTTCAAGAATTGCTCGAGATAGCCTTTCATGAATTACGCTCAAGTCGTTTCATCCTTGTTCTTACCTTATTTATCTGGTCATCTTGTTTGTGTTTCAGCTATTGAGGTCATTGTTGAGATTGATTTGATAAAAATTTTTGGATCGGCCTCATGGCTATCAAAACATTGATTATCCATAATTATAATTTTTGGTTCAAATCAGATTCTCATGTGCGTGAAATCCTTTCATTTATTCGTCTATACAGGTGTTTAGCTTGGATGTTTAACTTGATGCTTCAGTTGGTGTTGACCGTTCATGAATGGTCACCATATTAAGCTAGTTTTAGGTTTTAGATTTTCCTATGCTGATAGAGTACTTTAATTTGGATTCCTTCCCCTTTTTAACTCATTACTTTATGCATCAATTAATAAATGTTTTTAATTGGTCTGCGTTGCGGCTTGAGCTCAAGCGTTGCTCGTTTCTTTATCTTGCAATTTTTGTGGATTTTATTTTCATTTTGTATGGTTGTTTGGCTCAAATTTCAAATCAACTAGCCTGCCAGGATTTGACTGCTTTAGAAAGGAAAAAAGACTGTCGGAGGTTCCGCAGCTTCAGAATGGCTATGTATCTAAAGTGAGTCGTAACCAACAGATACTGCGTGATTCTCTATCTGATTTTATGCGCGTCTTTTTTCTTACTCGCTTTGAAATTTGACTGTCAGGGTTAGCTTTTTCCTAGAGCTGTCGTAACTAGAGTTTTTGAGAAGAACACATTTTTTAACACAAGTAAAGATTTGTATGCAATTAGGGCTCTATACGTAGTTTATAAGATTTTAGTAGAAATAAGAATCTATGTAGATATAACGCCTTCACAGCTGCATTGACTTTTTTATTGTTACTCTATTGCCCTGTTGCAGATAGTATAAAATTCATTATTTTCCATGACCAGGAACAACGAAAGGCGATTGCCTACGGAACTACAGCACCATCTTTGTTTCATTTGTGGCACATTGTTCCGTGAGAAGCATGAATACCAAAAACATCTAATCGGCCATCAGTCCTTCGCACTGGTCTATCAAATATACAATTTCGACAAGTCTGAGGTGAGATCTTATTTTTTTTNTTTTTTTTCTGCTTGGAAAGAAGTTCTTCGCACCTTAAAAGTGCTTACGATTTTTGAAATCCTAGTCATGAGCAGCTTCAGGACATTTTTCAGAGCGAAAGAAAGGCTAATGAAAAGGCAAAGAAACCGGATCAGAAACCAGGGCGAGTTGGGCATGCAGTTTCGGATGATTATCCTAAGAATAAAGGTTAGAATCGAGTTGCTTCGTTTCTTATGATTTATTCGATATTTTTGCGTTCATTTTTTTTTCGGTTTCGATCCTTATTATTTCATTTTTCGATTTGGACCTTTATCACTAGTTTTAAAAGAGTAACATCCCTTGAGACTAGTCTGATTTTGAGCATAGGTGACATGTAATAAGTCGCAGTATTCATTAAATTTTACCCTCAGGATATTCATCCCTCCGTCAGTCAGAAGAGCTAGAGAAGGAGATGAGATATCGTGCCAAAGGCCGTCCTCGAGTGGATAAACTTGAGAAAGTACACCGAGAAGAACGTAGGCAGTACTTGCGCGAGAAAGAACGTGAAGAAGAGCTACTCGCAGAACGGGAACGTCAGCGTAAGATTGAGGCTGCACGTAAGCGAAGGGAAACGCGAAAGAGGAAATTGGTACGATATTGTTACAACTTTGACGTTTTACCTTGGGTTAAAGTTATATCATGCTCAATGTTCAAGTATTTGTGAATATTAGAAAATATTGAATAGATGAGTCCTCGTGATCATGAACTCAACTACATTTTTTGAAGATTTTTTGGTAGATTTCCCTCAATTCATCATCATCATGAAATTTTATTACTGATGAGACATTTGGTGCATTCTTATCGAATAGAACTTATTGAGCTTATTAGCTTCGATTATATGAAAGTCATTTCGTGGTGGACGCAACCTTTTTGTAGGATGAGCACGCAGCCATGACAGCAATGAGGGATCAAGCAATGCCTATAGCGAAACGCAAGCTATCCAGCAGAGATAGAGGTAGCCATCCTCGGGGACATTTCTTCTTCCTCTATACGCTCACTGAATTGCTGTCAGACACTGATTCTTCAGGTATCGATTCAACTCCACTCGTTTCTCCGGCTGCTCTGGATGAACCATGCTCCTCCTCGCCACCCGAACCACCCCCTCCACCGAAGATAATTTTGCCTAGAGAAACCGCTTCAGGATTTTCTATTGGCCCATTATTAGAAGAGAAATGTCCTTATTGCGAAACAGGAGAGCCATATGAACATCCCGTGGAAGCCATTGAACATAGTAAGTGACAAAAGGGATTCAGATCTGTTATTTGGGTTCTTGTAGGATTATTATATCGATTCACACTTATTTTGATAATATTTCAGTTGTGGATCATGGCGGCAGCGTCTTGGACGTGAAATTGCACTTTTACGAAGATGACAAGTTCATTGCTACGGAGACACAACTTACAGGAGAGAAGTGTAACGTTTGCGATGTCACCTTCGACTTTCCGACGCAGTAAGTGTTTATATCGTTTTTAAACAGTATCAAGTCATAAAAGATTGCAAGTTGATACTGTTCGCCTTCACTTGTTTGCTTCAATACTTTCTGTCCAATAGGCCGATATATGCTGCACAACACTTTCACTTATCTAAAATCTTTTCACATTCACTCCATGGGGCTCCTCCTATTGTAATTCGGGCTTTTCTGAGTAATTCACCTACTGTTTTCGCACCTCCGTTTCTTCCATGCACCTTTTGTTTTATCTGTACCCCTTAGTGACCGTAGATTACAGTTTGAAGGTCGTGCAAAACTGTTTTGTCACGACTGTAAAATTTGAACTACGGTAGATCATTATGGGCTACAACGATGTTTCATCGAAAAAATTTTCCAGGTACTACTTACATTTGTTGAGCAAACATCGAATGGACGTAACGACATATTACCGGCGAACAAACCATCTTAGTGCTAACAATGTGAAAATTACAACGGTCATTATCTATCGCATGTATCCGGAACACACGGTCGAGTTTCGCGAAATCATCCCTGTTGAAGAAGTTGAAGGGGAGAAAAAAGAATCGTAGGCTCTGTATATATCCCATGTTAACCCTTGTAAGTAGCACTTGATTTATTCAACGTCAGCATGTGGCACAAAATCCAGGCAGGAAAAGGGGTTTTTAGAAGAAAGGTGTGATGCCAAGAAAAGGGGTAGAGTTTGGAAAGAGCAAAATTCTAGAGGAATTCGATTTACTTAGGGTGAGCATGGTAGGGAGATGATGAAGAATTCATACGATACCACTCCCGACTCTATGCTCGACCGTTGTTATGTTATAGTGCCAGTAACTTCTCTGTTTCAATGCTAACAGTTTGTGACAGATCTCTTTTTTTAATATCCGTTTCTTATGTTGTTTTGCTTGAACTGTTTTTGTTGAATTTTTTCCTGCCCCTCTCGTACATAAGGCATTCTGTTGCTGTTTTCAACGGACATGGCGTATTTTTAGCTTGTTTGGTTCTACAAGAGGGCTGATTTAGGACGATATTGCATGTGGGATGGTAGCCCGGTCGAAACTAGACCGATTGATTATCCTAAAACCTTTCATCTCGTTCACATTGAAAATGAAGGAATTTGACAGGGTGTACCGACCTAGTATGAACACGCCAACGGTAGATTACCAAGCTGGTGATCTTACCAGGTTATACTTACTAAATTGAAGTCTTGATATAGTAGGGAAGACGAAGTGGCGTCGTCTGCCACTGCACTGTTTGGTTACAACTACGAACACTTCATAAATTCATTTCAACTAATTATTTACAAAACCTTCTTAAAACTTAATTAAAACATATCCTCTTTTGGTATTCCAAGGTCGGCATCAAGGCGGTCATCATCACCATTGTAGGCGCCATTAGTGTATAAGCTTCTGAAAAGGATCACGAGAAGTTTAAAGGCTTATTCTAATTGGAGGACGTTACTTAGGTTGTGTTAATAAACTGGGAAGTAAGCTACGTTTGTAGTTTGCGTTAAGCTGCCTTTTTAGACGACCTCGATGCCGAAAATGTGGCCAATTGCGAGTGAATGCTAATCGGCTTTGCCAAAACATATTTCCCCAGTGAAGCCTGAGGATTGTGATATGCAGAAGTCAGGTTGCGACAGCTGGCAAAAATACCGACACAAAAACCCGGGAGGCGTCCGTTTGGCGCGATCCCTCCCATTGCGCAGTCCATTCGACGCGGTTTGCAAGCTGGATAACTCGTATTCTGTTTTATTCTGCTTGTATACATAGTCTATTTGGTTTTTTCATGGTGCTTCAACGAGTTGTCCAGCTTGGAGAACGGGCGGCGCGATGGGAGGGATCGCGCCAAACGACATACACCCCAAAAATCCTGGTCTTGTTGGCCCATGCTCGTTGGATTGTTGACTACCATTCTTTGATGTGGCGCGAAGGGGACGGGTTTTCCCAATCGTTCAATCCCACAATGTACGGTTACTATATCG